TGCTTAATCGATCTGCTTTTTTATTACTTTCAAATAATCTGGCAATTTATGAAACAAGAAATACCGAGTCGACGCTAGTCTAAAAATAAGTTGGCATATAGCCCGTATCAAATGTATTTTAGATCCTTCTTTAAAAGCATGTATAAGATAAAATTATCACATTTTAGGTGATCGGTGATTTTTCCATATGCATTATAATTCTAATCAATAATTATTTCTTATCAATGATATGTGAAAAGATTAGTGTACAAATTTATACTTATCTGCTCCACATGTTTATTGTGTGATCATTGTGAATCAAAGTGAAAGGTCATTGTCATTGATATAAATTTATGATGTACTTAAACAATCTGTGTGTGTTATATATTTAAATCGAATGAGACATACTTTTGTGATCATGCTTTTAATAACTATATTCTTGAAGATATAAAGGGGGGAAAGTATGTTAGATTCCAATGTTTTCCTGTGTATTATCATTTTTATTCCAGTGTTGCATTATATTATACTGATTCTTGTGTTTAAATGTAATGTGTTTTAGTAACATTATGTAGAAGATAAAATTCATTTCTACTTATACACACACACACGCATGTATGCATCCATAATCATTAATGATTTAAACGTGGATCAATAATGGAAAATATAAATTCTTCTCCATGTACTACAGTCCCTGACGTCTATATTTTTGATTGTGATAACGAAGCAGAACCGTACTGGCAAATGATGGTAGGGTTGAAATCTTACTTATTCTGCAAGTATATCATTAAATCTGAATGCATAGAATTATACTTATATTTACATTATTAACAGAATAAATTCAGCATATTTACAATTACAATTTCTTTTTTGTTCGCACTATTAAATATATGGTACATTGCCTTTTTTCACATGCGCTTATTTGTTGCTAATATGTTGTGAACATGTAAATATAGGAATTATAGGGTTTCGGAACATCCAAAGGATGCAATTTTATGATAACCTGAACTGTGTAAAATAAGATTTACTAACCATATAATTCTTCTGTGTTTGTTTGCCTGTACTTGTTCTAACTTAAACGTACAATTGTCCAGCTAGCGATCTTCTAGGACTAGGAGAACTAAAAAGTAGTTTAAAGTCGGGTTACCATTGACATGTAATTATTTCTGATAAATGAAATTGTAAATTGATAAATCATCGAATATTTAAATTCGACATTTAAAAGTAAGATTTTTTCATGCAGACACTATATATTTTCTTAAAAGTATAATCTTTAGATTCCATTTATGATGTCCTTTTTA